TGTTACAGTACAAGGCAAGGATTCATACTTGTTGCGCGTCGATGGAGGATCTGAGGAGGCGACTGTTGATGATGAAATCTGTCTTCCTCATGATATATGCATACCACACACCGGGGAAGATAGTGACCTTGATACTCTAATTGACAGCATATTCTCTAATCTCAATGCGAATATGTCAAGCAAAGATTATATCACCTCTCGAGTGATCTTATCTACGCGGAACGACTGTGTTGATATGATTAATATGAAGGTGATAGGTTGTTTCCACGAGAAAGAGATGGTGTACCATAGTTTTGACTGTGCGGTGGATGATCCACACAACTACTACCCTAAGGAATTCCTTAACACTTTGACACCCAATGGTCTACCTCCACATGTGTTGAAGCTGAAGATTGGTTGTCCGGTCATATTGCTTAGGAACATTGACCCTACAAACGGACTTTGTAATGGTATCAGGCTTATCATACGGGGGTTTCAAAAGAATAGCATAGACGCGGAAATTGTGTTGGGACAGCACGCTGGAAAGCGGGTTTTTCTGCCTCGTATACCCTTATGCCCGTCGGACGATGAGATGTTCCCTTTCCACTTTAAGCAAAAGCAGTTCCCTATCCAGCTCAGCTTTGCGATGACCGTTAACAAGTCATAGGGGTAGACTATCCCTAACGTCGGGGTATACTTGCTGGAACCAATGTTCTCGCACGGCCAATTGTATGTGGCGCTATCAAGAGCTACAGCAAGATCGAACATTAGGATTCTAGCCGTGCCGGCTGTTGAGAAGGACGTGAACAAGGAGAAAGGGAAAGGGAAAGGGAAGGGGAAGAAGAAAGCGACAAAGGATATATTCACAAAGAATATTGTATATAAAGAGGTTCTAACTCCATAAAAGAGGTAACGCATCACACGTCGATACATATTTTTTTAGATATCAAATGGTACTTTAACTTCAAAAATTAACAAACAACTTATATGCAGGATACTTCTAACTACAGCTTTAGCCATCTACATGCTTCAGCTGCAAGAAGTCTGACGCCGCATCTTGGACTAAAAAATCTTCTGGATCATCATTGATTGGTAACCAACTGCAGCTTGGTATTCGTGCAAAGCATGTTTTCTTAGTCGAACTTTTGAGAGATTACATTCTTAATTGTAGAATAGATTCTAAAACATGTATTGTGAAACACAAACTTATTATGATTATATTTCCGTAGCATTTAATTCCTAAAGAAGTGTAAGCTTATCTTTCGCGTATCGTAAGCATGAAGTGATGCGACAATTGAAGTTGATATTTTAGTTTTGCATTCATATTTAGAGTTATATTTTAACTATCTATCTTTCGTGAAAACTTATGTAATATTGATTGGAACATTATGATTGCGGTATCTATTTTAGATAACAGTATAACACACGCTCATACATATGTTATCGTGGTATTATGTGTTCTCGTTGCAACGCATGGGCATTTACCTAGTATACTTAAAAACGGAGGGAGTAAACTTATAAGCTCATCAAGTTTGCACTAAGCATAGACTATATTTCTGATGGATATTCATTGGATTATTGCTTTCTCATATGCTTTGCTAATTGTTTACTCTTGGATTTTGGTGATATCTTGAAATAAGTTTTTTATGTTTTTTTTACCATTTGCTAATTCTGCATGTTACATCAATATGTTGTTGCATTAATAATTACAGAGATATTTTGAAAAAGAAAGAGAGAGAGTAGGTGTGGGTATTGGGTATCATGGTGTCGGTGCGAAATATGGTCAACAAGTAAATATTTATAATTTTGCCGTGCATTGTGATCATATGTGGCCTAGCACGCGATGATACCGGATTTATACTGGTTCGGGCAACATGTCCTACATCCAGTTTCAGTCGGTCGGTGACTTTATTCTTGAGCCCAGGTGCTCGAAGTTTGCTATGGGGTTACAAACAAGTAAGGAATGAGAAGGGGGGTGTTAGAGGTCCAGTCGGACTTGATCCGAGTGGAAGAGAGCGACGGATGTTCAAACGTGCGCTAAGTATTGGAGCGTATGCTCTGTGTGTCCGAGCTTATCAGCTGTTAAGAGCGTGTAGACTATGTAGCTATCGAGCTCTAGAGCTGTTAAGCTGTTTAGCCGTCCTCCTTTTAGGAGAGAGCGCATCGTCTTTTATAGATGAAGTGGATGACCTTACAAGTCAAAGACGAAAAGGGAGAGAATGTGTACGTGTGCTACCTAGTCTTGTTGCCCACGCCGTGGGGTAGGGTACGCCATCGCCCACCTTACTGTAATGACCTACTGTATCTGACAGACTGCACAGTGTTCGTCCACCTTACTGTTCATGACCTGGCAGGCTGCACAGTGTTCGCCAGGGACGGCAAACGACGGCGCCCACAATACTGTTTGTGTTCTAACGCGTCTAGAAGGTTGTATAGTGTCCATCTGACATGGCCTGGCGGCACCGTCCTGCAGGTGCGCAGGGCATGACAGGGTACGGTCCTCGATATTGCGGTTGACTTGAGCGCGTTACCTTATCTGCTCCGCCTGCTCCCCGGGCCCACATCGAGTAGGCATCCTGGTCGGTCGTTCCCAGTCGGCCCCGACTGTGTCGATCGGGAAAGAGAGGCGAGTAAAAGTCCGACATATCCCCGGTCAGAGGAACGGGGTCGGAGTTGGACTGTGGTCCCACCACGGCCAGGCCTTTCGGTTGGGGCTCCGACTAGGTCTCCTGGCCGGAGGTGCCGGTCGGGGACCGGATCGTGGTCTCGGCCTGTCATTGTGTATCTGGGCCGGCCCAGACGCGCGCTGTCGCTGCGCTGTCTGCTGAGCAAGTATTGCAGGAAAGCGGGTCCATTGGGGACCCCGGGTTTATGAACCCGACACATGGTGATTCACGAACTCACAACTGTTCCTTTCAAAGCTCCTTGATGTTGGTCATTTTGCTGTGCTCATCGGTAGTTGCTTGTTTGTTTACTCAGGTGAAAATTCAAAAAGAGAGTGAGGTGCGGCTGAAGATGATTGGTACTCGTGTCGATGCTACAGAAATTGTAAGCTTATTACTGTCTAACATTGTTTACAGTAAAATCCAACTTTGAATGCTCTTCTTTTTTTTTCAAAGTTTTGAGTATAGACCTGCGGATGGCAACCACATCACCAGTTTTTTTTTGACAACATTGTGTGAACACACATAAAATTTTGCAGTCGCTTGTCTAATATTCTTTTCTAAGATTGTATGAACAACAAAGAACTTATGTCTAGTAAATAATAACTTTGATTAATGCAAGATTAGTCAGCCATGAATATCGGCATGCTTATTGTACTGTTCTTTTGCCACATATAAAAACGTGATGTTCGTGTCCTGTATCTTAGAACTGACCAGGCCTTAGATACTCTAGTCTCATACTCTCGTTTAGCACTAGCCTAGAAGATTTTTGTATGCACTAAATCTTCTTGTGCCAAGAACTTATTGTTCATCCCTCGCTAAAAGCATATTTGATAGCTGAAGAAAAGGGATATTTTCATTATAAAACTTCTTGTGCATTTGAATTCATACTTGGTGCCTTGTTATAAGTTCAATGTAATACTTGTGCAATGTTCTAATGGTCCAATCCCTGCTGTTGCAGTTTTGCATTGGCGCAATAAAGGATGACTTCCTGGGTGTTATCAGCGATCCTGGTGCAGCAGTGTAAATGGTCTAAGAAACGAGATTGTACTCCAATGTTCGCAGACATGTGTAATCCGTGGTCTGTTAAAACCGCAATGGTTGTACGGACTGCAGAACCTGTTGAGAATGATGTGCCTAGGACCTTGTTTAGCTTAACTATAGTATATAAGCAACTCCAGCAATAGCCCCCAAATCAGGGCCATACTTTTGATCTGGGGCTTTCCTTCTGCTTTTGATTGCTTGGTTTTCTAGACTCGGCTCCAACCTGTCTTTTTCCATTTTTCTCACAATCTCCTATTTCCAGTTTCCCTGCTCTCGTCCCCCACCTCGCGCCCTCAGCCTCAATGTCCTCTCCCCACTGCCTGCCCTCAACGAGCTCTCAACCCGCATACATACCCTCAACCACAAAAGTAAGATGGATCCTGCTAAAGTTGCTCTAAACTACTCTCACTATTGAAACATATATGATTGTTCTAATGATTCGAATCAAAAGTTATCATGAACATCACTTTCCTGAGCCATTTGTACCTCTGAATATTTTATCGTAGCATTGGTCCAATGCAAATAATTGATAGAATAACGCATGCACTCAAAATTGGAGTAAATAATTGATAGAATAACTCATGCACTCGAAATTGGAGTAAAATTGACTATGTTACGTAAGTGGATTTTATTTCTACTTTGTTTTGCACATTCCTAGTTTATCTTTCTATTCCAAATTGTAAGTTGTAGCTATCCTAACTCAAAAATTTTCTAGCTTTCATCAAGTTTATAGAAAAATATATATACATATACACCATTAAAATATATTTCATGGTGCATACAATGAATCTTATTTGATGTTGTAGATGTTTGTAAAATTTCCTATTAATTTGGTTAAAGCTAAAGAAGTTTGACTTATGATAAACCTACAACAAAACTTGGGGACACACTGCCGAGGCAATTCCCTTTCAACAAGGATACATATTGCCGATGCAATTTCCTTTCAACAATATTCGCTCACATTTTCCCTAACTAGGATCAACTCAACAAACATCATCAAACAGTTGCACGTGTGCACTTAGCTTTCTGTGATTATCTGCCTTGAAAAGAATCCAAGTCATGCTGTGCCTACAAATGATGGAAAATAGAAAAACTCATTCAGAAACAAGACGTGGACATCTCATCGTTAGATAGAAGCACATTAACTAAACTCACCTGCTCGGAACGCCATGTTAGTGTGATCCTTTGCACCAGTTTCCAATGGAGGATCATATAACATATACATTTTGAACTCTAGCTCATTTCCATAACATTCTTGTTACCACCAAACAAAAATCAAACAGGTGGATATCCATGAATACCTTTTTGTTACCATCAAACCAACTGGTCAGAAAAGGAAGCCAAGCTCACTACAGCAAATAGGCAAAGCAATGAAAAGAGATCCGCAATTCCAAATGATGATTCTGAAAGAAAGTAGATCTTGTGATTGCTTGGATTGCCACGAAATCCTCGAGCTACCATTGCCTGGACAAATAAGAGCATAATAAGACATAATTCAAAAGTAAATATAAGGAGCAATCAAATGCGCATAAATTTTGGCACAGCTGTAGTTTTAATATATGCTCTGAACAAAGTCAAGTGCCTCAAAAAGCAAAAATGCTAAGCATCAGAGCAATATAATCAAGTTTCACACTTTCTGTGAGCTCCCGATATCATTGGAAGAGCACTTTCTTTTCACTAAGACTTCATATCCTTTTTGTGTTGTCTCCTCTACCACAATGTGCTGACTTCAGGTCAATAAGGTGAGATGGTATGTGGTCTAGACACAAGTCTTGACATGTCCCAACAGCATAATACAGTCGTGTGATCCCTGACTAGCTTGGCCAGTGTCCAGTTAAACTTAGAGAAAATAGCTAGCGCGTGCTTCATGTAAATAGTTGGTTCTACTTTGAGATGGACCAAACAGTCACGTAGCTGAATGCTAGGAAATGCAGGCATGATTTATGGATGCATCAGGAACCAATATCAGCAAGGGTAAACAAACCTGTAAAGGCAATTCCTTGCTGTTCCATGGTTCTAGTGCAATTTTTTAAAACAGTATCATCCTACTATCACTTATGAAGTATATTTGACCCAGGACAAGGAGTTTTGGTTTCAAAGTCATTTCTATCGCACAGCAGCTCAAAATACATACCTAACTCAACCATGGGCCATGTTCATCGAATTACCTTTTTTAGGAATTGCACAATGCATTTATTGTAACTCAAGTCAGTGACAACAAAAGGAGAAAAGGAAAGAAAAAACTAACCTTGGATATTTGCTCTGCGTGATCAAATATATTTTTGAATATCCGCCGGACATAGTTGAAGAAAACTACAGTTGCACATAAGATATTTCAGTTAATATTTCCATACAGATATCATGTAAAAGCAATTAATGGTAGTCCTAGGCTCCTAGTCATATAAGATCTCGCGCATGGGATGAGTGAAACATAACTAGAAGAATTGCAACATAAAAGGTACTCCTGAAATTAGGCATACTCAACTAAGCTTTTCAGGAGTCACTTTTAAAGTTATAAAAATACAGTTTTGGCCACTATTAACTTAGTTTTCAAAAACTATGTATGTATTTTGAAATGGCCTATTGCCTTTAATTTTAGCAATGCATGACATCTCATTCTTCCCCCAATCTTATCACCAGAATAGATTACTTGGAGAAAATTATCAATGCTGAAAGACTGGAACACAAATGCCTCACTCATTGCTTAAGAAATCATATACTGCAAGTCTACCCCTGCTAAATTACATTGTCCAAGGGTGACTTTGGACAGTTTAGGTTAATTTCAGGTGCATTGATAAGAATGAACAGCATGTTTAACCAATGAGAAATTAGTTTTTGATTCCTGCTCCTCACAAGCAGCTAGCAGGTCTGGACTGTTTGGGTTCTGGCAGTGTTTATTAACCAGTTCTGTTAAAGCTATTGGTTACAAACGCAGGAAGTATTTTTCCAGTATGTAGAAGGTACTTACTATCTATAGTTTCCATAGCTGTCAGCTTTTTCCAATTTATCCGGCGTGCTACAATCGCTAGAGCTGAGTTGCGAACCTAGTTGGATATGTGAACAATATCATACTCCAAAGTTAGATCTCAAATAGCAGAGCATATTTCTAGACAGAAAGAAAAGGTACTTTGGTGGTTACCATAAATACTTGCCTCATCAAATACTAAATTGATGAACCTCAATGAGAGTAGTAGTGTAAGTATTATCTCAGGTACTGGCACACCAATATGCTTCAGTGGAATCATAAACCACCACAAAGCAGAGGCAAGCTGCTCGGGAGTGGTTGTTGTCAAGCAGAGACTTGCACTTTGGAATATCTGCATACAAACAACAAATTTGGGAGTGCATATCATATAGTTTCAGATGCAAACCAAGTCACTCTTAATATCCAAAAGGAATGACAAACAGCGTGCTCTCCATCAGGTGTGGTTTGTTGGATGTAAACAGAAGGCACAAAAAAGTGTAAGATAATGAAGGATTAAGCCAAAGAATGTGTGCCTAAAATACTTGTAAGTTAAGTGAAGGACGTACCGCAAAGGAGAGGCTTGCTGAAGTACTTGCTACAGATAGGCCTTTCCTTGTAAATTGCAGTGGTCCCAGTTTCAAGATTGTGTAAGAATACCCACTTGTGGAGCAAGGAATGTTCGGTATGCCTACAACAGAAGGTGGAGGCGTTCTCGTCTGGACTAATGAAGGCGCACCATCAGCACCAAATCCCAGCATGATGAATAAGAATCCTGAAAGGAGAGCAACCCTTCCAAGTTGATCCTACAGAGTAAACATGCTTTTGTTTACAGGTACAAACAAGCACATCCGACAAGAACAGTTTGAATATACGAGGGAACAGAAACCGCGGAGCAAAGTGGTAAATAACATTAGATGAATCCTAGAAGGAAAATTAACAGCTACATTAGAACGAATGGGCAACCAAGGGTGAAGTTAAAGCCAGACATTACAGCTTTGCTGCATCAGACTCAAGGTACTAGCACAGCATATGAAAGTACCAAACACCATAAGCTGCAACTACATATGTAAAATTGTGATCGATCCACCATGTATCAGCATCATAAAGAAACTCAAAACAAATAGAAGACAATTGAAACCACAATTCGCTAGCTACAAATTCAATTCTCTAGCTAAGGACAAATTCAATTCTCTGTAAATTATTTTTGATAGAACATAAAATCATACCTTCCAAACATGTTTTGGTAAAATCCACATTGAAAGAAGGGCCAGGAATACTACCAAACCAAACCGCATATAAATATTTGATCTGGCTGGTAGGACAACAAGGGCCAAGAGCCACACCTACAGAAAGAAGTATATGAATTGTTTAATTGTAACAGGTCAACAACCACAAGGTTATTCAGTTCATCTTTAAACTTTGGTCAAATTTATGTTAATACAGAAAAGGGGCTGAAAAACTGAAAACTGGTACGGTAAGTTGGTTGATGTGGCCATATCAAAGATAGCCAAGCCAAAAAAGAAGAACATTGATTCAACCCATCAGGATACAAGGAACAACCTAATAGATTCATGGAAAAAGTAAATTACTCCCCCCACACAGAAAAGTTGTCCAGATAACCCCTAAACTGAATTTATGTTCAATTTACCCCTCCGGATCTTTTATTTGATCCAATCTATCCCTTAATAAGATTTTCCTTTTTTGTTTCTCCACATAGAAGTTGAGTTATAAGTTCAAATTTTGTAAGGTCGTAGCGAATATCATAACTTATGTTAGACAGATACATTATGAATTTTTCATCATTATTTTTCATATAATTCTGAATCTGTATGGTTAATTTACTATAAAATGCTTCAGCTATCAAAAATAAATATGAAAAATTCATAATGTATTTTTCTAACATAAGTTGTGATGTTCTCTACCAACCTATAGAACTTAAAAATCAACTTACGTATATGCGGAGAAACAAAAATGACAAATCTTATTAGGGGTAGATTGGATCATCTAAAACATTTGGAGAGGTAAACTGAACACAAAATTAGTTTACGGGGGTATCCGGACAACTTCCCTGTGTGGGAAGTAAATTTGACTTTTTACAAGATTTTTCAGGTTATTTGAGGTATAGATTACGAGGTACTTTATCTAGTGGCCTAATAAACCGATTTTACAAGGGATATGAGATATGAAGGGACACATGTCCTTGAAGCATTCACAATTGTACTCGTATAAAGTGATGAACTTAAAAGCCTTGATTTACAGTTGAAATAAAACTGCTGTGTTTGGAGATTCAAGCATTTTATTCTATATCGGTAGCAATAGCTAAAACACCCTAATTTTAAAAATTTGAGATTCTGTCATATGAATATATGATATTATTGACTTCACAATCTTGATTAAGGGGTCTGATTCTATAATTCTAGTCAAAGGAATCTATGATTTATGTTTGCGACAATGTTTTTGAGGCGCCGCGGCGAGGCGCGGTGCCCGACCCCCTTCACAACGCCTAGGCGTTTGTGGCGGACGCCTAGGCGACGCCATACACACATTGTAAGGCGTTGTAAGCTAGAATTTTATATACTAGTGGAGCACATAGATACCTCGTTTGTTGCCAATTCTTGAGCCCACGTTCCTTTCTTTCCTTTCCAAAAGCTCTTCTCCCGCACTAGTGCAGAGCAGACAGCAGACAAGCAGAGCACATACATATACTAGTGCAGCAGTACAAGCAGAGCACGAGATTTGGAAAAGAGCCCGACGGAAGACAAGCAGAGCAGACGGAAGACAAGCAGATAAGCAGAGCAGAGTGGAGGCGCCCGACGGAGGCGCAGAGAGCAGAGAGCAGAGAGCAGAGCAGACAAGCAGAGAGCAGAGAGCAGACAAGCAGAGCATACCAGGCGGAAGGGCCTGACGGAGGCGCAGTCAAGCGGAGATGCAGGGGCGAAAGGGCCCAGCAGCTCCTGGCAGGGCGGACGGCCAGATGCGGTGGCCGACTTCAATGGCGGCGGCGGCCGGCCGGTGGACACGGCAGAGTCCGCGCCAATGGGAGGTCGAGGTACGTCCGCCGCCTCTCTTCTCTCTCTCTCCCCAAGACTCGCGGTGAATGACCAAGACGCTAGATTTCCCCGCGAAGAAGCAACTGGGCGCCTGCGGTCGATTTCAGCGCCTCGGTCGATTTCCATGGGCCGCGCTCCTTTGGCGCCCTTCCCACGACAAGCATCCGGCGTCATGGGCCTTGTTTGTAGGCGCCCGCCCGACGCCATTTGCGCCTAGGCGACGCCTAACCCTATGAGGCGGACGCCATACACGCTGAGGTCGTGGCGACCCCAACGCCCAGGCCCTCGACCACGCCTTTTCGCCTAGGCGACGCCTCAAAAACATTGGTTTGCGATCCTATTATTGTGATCTTAGGCCTTTGATCTGATTTAGAGTCTCGATTTTGACAACTGTGCAAAACACAGTTCGATCAAGTATATACAAGGACTCGTAACTTCACAAGCATAATGGATGGTTCTATCGATTAGGGAAGAGCTAGAGCAAACCCTGCTACATGGTAAAGAATAGCAAGGCGAAAGAAAAACAGAAAGTAAAGAAAGAATACTTGCAGCAGTGGCGGACTTATAATCTTGCCAATGAGTATGCCGCACCAAAATTTTTACATGCAATTTGGAAAAATCCATTTAGCAATATGGTAAATAATTGTTGAATTTGCGCCGCAATTCGGTATACAAGCACTAGATAACATCATACGTCCTAAATTCAACAATTCAGTTCGAAATGTGCATAGATTACAATACAAATAATTCAAACGATATTCTAACAGTTCAAAATATTACAATACAAATAATTCAAACACTATTCTAATAGGGTTATTTCCCCCTTTTTCTTCTTATTATAATGATACGTAGCTCTCCTGCGTGTTTGAGAAAAAAATATGGGATTTGCTAAATTTCAGGTGCCTGAATTTTAGTTTCCTTTCCGGTGACGATTATTGCATATATTTTATACTAAAATTGCAGTTTTAGTTTGTTGCAATTTATGTAGACACAATCTGCAATTTTTGGTTCCCAGAATAAAAAACCTGTTAGACAAAATCACAAACCTGACAAAATCTGATATGTGTTGGCACAAAGACAATTTAATAATTGGGAAAACGGTGTTTTTGCCCCTGTCCAGAAGTTCAATTGTGATTTTACCCTTATTTTTTCAACTTTGTGATTTTACCCCTGTTATTTTGAAACGAATGAGCAGTTTGCCCCTGGTTTGGATGTCCGTTATTTAGAGGCTGATTAAACGATTTAAAAAAATAAAACAAATAAAATTAGATGCGAAATGACTGAAATGCCCTTATCACGGTTATCCCATCTGCACCGTGTCCACCAGTGCCTATTAGGCAGGGCGCGCGACATCAACGGGAGAGGCACGGCGGCTGAGCTCATGGGGCGCGCATGAAGGCCATGGGAAGAAAGGTGGTCATGACGGGCGAAAGGCCATGCCGTCTTGAGCTTCATGGCGCTATGTGGTGCCATTGGCGGCGTCATGCGGCATGGCTGGCCGGGCGATCATCAATGACCCTCGCCCTCCGACAATGCTCCCATGCGGCGCTCGAACAATAGTGACCTACCCGGTCAAAACAGCGCATGTCGCTATCGCTGCTGCCGCCGACAGCTCCTCCAAGGCCACCGGCGACGACGTCCCCAACCGGGCGTGGACGTAGGAGCCCGGCGAGAAGATCTCGCCATACCAAGCGCAGCCCGGGCCCCCAGCAGTTGCCGGACTTGGAGATGGAGAAGTCGAACGCCGCCGCAAGACATTCATTCTTCGCCCGTTGCCGCGCCTCAACCACCTCTTGGCTCCAACGACGGCGTTCGATCCGGACCCGCCTGATAGCTCTGCCTCCGCGGTCGAGGCCGTCGCCGCCGTGGCTGTAGCGAGCTCCTCCTGTTCGGTTGCCAGCGCGGTCGGTCCTTCCGACGGCGAGCCGCTCTCGCTCTGCGTCTGCTGTTGCTGCGTCAGTACCATCGCGTCGAACACCACCGTGTGGAAGCTCCTCGCTCTCCCGTCCGACGCGGACCACGGAGCGTCGTCTTCGTCGCGACTGCTTTGCCACCGTTCCCGCGCTTGCTCCGCCGTGCAGCCCTCTTCCTCCTCTAGACTGGCGAGCAGCTCTGACACGTCGATCGTCTCGATCTTGGCCGCCGGCTCGGCTGGTGCCGGCGCCGTCGCGGGGCTATGCACCTTGGCAGGCTCCTTGGCTTTCCTAGCCGACGAGGTGGAGCTGCGGAGGAGGACCAAGAACTGGTCGCCGTTGCTCTTAGAGGTGGACAGGATGATCTCGATCTAGGCTGCTCCTCCGGAAGCTGTGGCCCAGCCGCACTCACCTTCTCGAAAAGCTCCTCGATTTCGCCAGGGTCTTGGACGACACACACCCCATCTCTGATTCTCTGTAATCTGAAAGCACAAAGAAGCTTCTTTTTGTTCAGTTTATCCTACTCTGACCGAGCAGAAAGAATAGGAGCGGATGACAAATATGTTTGAATATTTATCAATATTAAATCTGAGTTCAAATAATTCCAAGTTGTGCTAAATATGTTTGACCAAATTTAATTAATTGTCGGCATACAATAAAAAAGTCTAATTCCAAATCAGGGTAAAATCAAAATTAGGCATAATAAACAGGGGCAAAATCCCATGGGCATTCATGTCCTTTTGTACAAAGTTAAACACCATTAGGGGTGGATGACGGAGCAGGGGCAAACTGGTGCTTCGTTTTGAAATCATAGGGGTAAATTCAAAAAGTAAAAAATAGGAGCAAAATCACAATTTCGATACAAAACAAGGGTATAAACACAAGAGCCCCTTAATAATTTACAATTATTTCTACGGTCAGACAAGAACAAAAATTTGATATGTTATGACACAGACAAATAACAAATCAGAAAAGTGACAATTTACTTGTACTACTAATTGATAGTACAAAAGTATTGCCTGAAATTATCTTAAAATTCAGGCTCCTGAAAAACAGGACAAGTGAAAAATATTGCATAAACAAACTTACAATACTACTAGTCTAGCCTGTTAGATAATCTACTGCTACTTTGTGTGAACACAGGCACACAGCAAGGGAAGGCGACGCCGAAAGGCCCCCCTGTTGTGATACTGTAGCCGCTGCAGGTGCAGGCGCCGCACGGCTCACCTACAGCACTGTAGCCGCATGCAGAGGCCGGCGCAGAGTTAGCCCTATATGTTATCTAGTCACTGTTGCAGCAGGGCAGCTGTACTGGAACTAGATGGATAGAGTTGTATAAATAGACTACCACGGCAACTCAGTAAAGAGAGTTCAGATTTACCATCTTCCAGATAGGGCTTCGGCCAACGCTGGTGTCTTGTACTGTGTATGTATGCTCTGTTCTTCCTTCTTCTCCAAGCTCTAGCCATAGTACGTGGGGACGTACAACGCTTGTTCGTGATCGGCACGGCTAGTGGGTGCTCGGCAACACTAGCGGGTGCTCGGCAAGACTGGTGAGTGGTTCACTCACCTGAGCAGGTGATCCTGTGGGCCAACAAGTGATATCAGAGCCGTACAGCGCCGTCGCCAGACTAACCGCTGGCGATGACGGGCGGTTCGGAAATGGACGACAGTAGTGGCACTGTTGTGGCTGCCCAGCCACGACCGGAGGTCGTTGTTCGCACGGTGCGAGAGGTCAGCGGCACCAGTTGGCCGACGCTGACTCGCACCAACTATGGAGAGTGGTCGGTGACCATGAAGGTCACGCTCAGAGCCCAACGGCTCTAGAATGTTGTTGACAAGGGCACCGACAATGAAGAAGATGACATGTCAGCGTTGGAGACTATCCTCGCTACTGTACCGGCGGAGTATAGGGAGCCGTTGGGGCCGAAGAGCTCGACTAAGGAGGTGTGGGAGGCTATTGCGACGATGCGCGTCGGTTCCGACCGCGCAAAGAAGGCGACGGCCCAACTTCTGAAGTAGGAGTACGCCAACCTCAAGTTCAAGGATGGTGAAACAGTGGAGGACTTCTCCCTCCGCCTGCAGACGCTCATCAGCAAGCTGAAGAGCCATGGCGTCACCATCGATGAAGAGGAGGCGGTCTCCAAGTACATCCACTCCGTGCCGGCAAAGTACATCCAGATCGCTCTCTCCATAGAGACGATGCTGGACTTATCCACCCTCACCATTGAGGATGTGACAGGCCGTCTGCGGGCGGTGGACAAGCGCCTGGAGCAGGCGACAACAACGAAGGACAGCGGCAAACCGCTACTGACGGAAGAGGAGTGGGCTGCTCGGAGGAACTCTGAGAAGGCAGCCTCCTTCAGCCGCGGTGGCGATGGCAAGCGTCGAGGCAAGGCTTCTTCGAAGAAGCAGGTCGACCCCAACGCCTGCCGGCGTTGCGGGAAGATGGGCCATTGGGCACGGGAGTTCCTAAATTGCAAGCAGGAGAAGAAGGCCGAGGCTCATCTGGCGCAAGCTAATGATGATGATGAGGCCACTATCCTGATGGGCGCCGACCAGGAGCAACGGTGGTATCTGAACTCTGGTGCCAGCAACCACATGACGGGCTCCAAGGCATCCTTCTCCGAGCTCGACGACGATGTTACCGGTACGGTGAAGTTTGGTGATGGCTCAAGGGTGGCAATCTAAGGACGCGGCACCATCATCTTCAGGTGCCAAAACGGAGAGCGCCGCGCGCTAACGGATGTATATTACATCCCGCAGCTGCGTTCCAACATCATCAGCATTGGTCAGCTGGATGAGCGCGGTAGCAAGGTACTGATCAATGACGGAGTCATTAAGATCAGGGACCGGGAGCAGCGACTTCTCGCCAAGGTGAAGAGGTCCCTGAACCGGTTGTACCTGCTCGACCTGAAGGTAGAGCAGCCGGTGTGCCTGACGGCACGGCACTCCGAGGAACCGTGGATGTGGCATGCCCGGTTCAGACATCTCAGCTTCGACGCGCTTGATCGGCTAGAAAAGATGGTCCGAGGGCTACCCCACATCAAGCACGGAGGCGAGCTGTGTGACAGCTGTCTGGCCGGGAAGCAGAGGAGGCTAGCATTCCCAAAGACGGCCAACTATCGCGCGAAGGACGCTCTCGAGCTCGTCCACGACGACCTATGCGGGCCGATCACGCCTGCTACCAACGGTGGTCGGCGGTACTTCCTCCTGCCCGTGGATGATTGCAGTCGCTACATATGGCTGCAACTCCTAACGAGCAAGGACAAAGCGGTGGCAGCGACCAAGAAGTTCAAGATGCGCGCGGAGGCCGAGAGCGACAAGAAGCTCCGCGTGCTGAGAACTGATCGCGGCGGCGAATTCACTTCGGTGGAGTTCGCTGCGTACTGCGCGAATCAGGGTGTAGGGCGACACCACACCGCGCCGTACTCGCCACAACAGAATGGCGTGGTGGAGAGGCGGAACCGGACGGTGGTCGGCATGTCCCGATCCATGATGAAGGCCAAAGGCATGCCAGCAAGGTTTTAGAGTGAGGCGGTGACCACGGCGGTGTTCATCCTCAACCGCTCTCCGACCAAGGCCCTGACGGGTAAGACGCCGTTCGAAGCTTGGTATGGACGCAAACCGAGCGTGTCCTTCCTCCGGACATTCGGCCGCATCAGCCACGTTAGGAAGACGAAGCCGAACCTCACTAAGCTGGAGGACAGGAGCACACCCATGGTGTTCCTGGGCTACGCGGAGGGTACCAAGGCGTACCGGATCTACGACCCACGCGGAGACAAGGTGCTTGTCTCGCGCGACGTCGTATTCGACGAGGAGGCCGCTTGGACTGGAGCAGTCCGAGCACGGGGGAAGTTGGCAGCTTCACCAACACCTTCCGTCGTCGAGCACCTGGTCATCCACGGTGGTGGGGACACTGGGGAAGAGGTGCCGAGCACTCCGGGATGGGTGCCGAGCACTCCAGCGGTAGAGCCGAGCACTCCTAGAACAGTGCCAAGCACTTCAGGAGGGATGCCGAGCACTCAGGGAAGAGTGTCGAGCACTCCTGGAGGGATGCCGAGCACGCCAGAAGTGGTGCCGGGAGGTTCTGCAGTGGTGGCGACCACTCCAGGACGGGTGCCGAGCACTCCCGTGGCGGAGCCAAGACGTCATACAGTGGTGCCGACCACTCCAAGACTGAGGCTGGGCACTCCTACGGTGTGGCCAAACACTGCAGGAGTAATGACGAGCTGTCCAGAGGTAGTGCCGAGCACTGCAACCAGAGTGCCGAGCACTCAAGGTGCTATGCCGAGCACTCCGGCGGAACAGGGAACTCCATCGACGCCGATCGAGTTCGTCTCACCTCCAAGTGACATCACTGAGTTCGTGGATGCCTTCCACGAAGGTGAGGAGGTGCGGTTCCGCAGGCTGAACGACATCGTCGGCGGCACAGGACCCTCAGGACTAACTGGACGGCTGCTCAATGACGCAGAGCTGTTGCTCGTCAGTGCAGAGGAACCACCCACGTTTGCGCTAGCCGAGCGGGACGGAAACTGGCAACGGGCGATGCTCGAGGAGATGAAGGCGATCAAGGAAAACAAGACATGGTAGCTCGTCGATCCACCTCCAGGATGCCGTCCGATCAGCCTGAAGTGGGTGTACAAGGTAAAGCGGGACGAGCTCGGCGCCATTGTCAAGCACAAGGTGCGTCTCGTCGCCCGAGGCTTTGTTCAGCGCGCGGGCATAGCCTTAGCAGCAGCAAAGGACTGGCGCGTCCATCACCTGGACGTTAAATTGGCCATCCTCAACGGCGAACTGGCGGAGACGGTCTTCGTCAGGCAACCTACAGGTTTCGCCGTCAAGGGAGAGGAGCACAGGGTGCTCCGACTGCGCAAAGCGCTCTACGGGCTGCGGCAAGCCCCACGAGCATGAAACGCCAAGCTTGACGCCACGCTGGGCGAGCTTGGGTTTCAGAGGTGCGCAACCGAGCACGCGCTCTACACGCGACGACGGGGGAAGGAGGAGCTCGTCGTCGGCGTGTATGTGGACGACTTGATCGTCACTGGCGCGCGCACGGAGGACATCAACAGCTTCAAACGCGAGATTGCGGCTTGTTTTCGAATGAGCGATCTCGACGCACTCTCCTACTACCTCGGCATCGAGGTGAGACAGGGGAAGGAGGAACTCACGCTCGATCAGAGCGCGTATGCCTCCAAGCTGTTGGAGAGGAGCGGTATGGCTGAGTGCAAGTCGTATGCGTGACTGGATGGAGTAGCTACCAAGTCGACGAAGGCCAAAGACCGCTGGCGAAGGTGGATGCAACACTCTCACCGAGCATCGGCGGCGGTCTCGCACTACCTAGTTCACACAAAGCCGGACATTACGCTCGCCGTGGGCTACGTCAGTCGCTTCATGGAGGATCCCAGAGAGGATCATCGGGTCATGCGGTGAAGCGGCCATCGCGCTACGTCAAGGGGACGGTGGATCAAGGGATCATTTGTCCCAAGATCCACGAGAGTAGGCTGCAGACTCATTGTGTTCGGGCCGATGCGAGACATGGCGGGGACATCGACGGACGACGGAGCACCTCCGACGTGCTTTCGCCTTCCTCGGGTCGGCCCCAATTTCATGGTCGTCGGCAAATGAAAATAGCGGTGGCGCTATCTACGTGCAAGGCGTAGTACGAAGCGGTGGCCAATGCAATGGCGTGCCAAGTTGTGTGGTGGTCACAATTCTATCACCGGGCGAAGCCGACCGTGTGGAAGCTCACCCACCAAAGACCGCGATGGTGGACAACTTGACCCGCCATCGCCTCTCGCGAAGAATCGGTTACGCACGATCGAGTAAACACATCGACGTGAAGTTCCACTTCCTCAAAGACTATGTCGATGGAGGGCAGATCGTCGTCGAGTTCGTCGAAACTGATCGGCAACTCGCGGACGTCCTCACCAAGCCGCTCGGACGTCTTCGACTCACGGAGTTGAAGGAGATAATCGGCATGGAGGGGGTACAAGGGTTAGCAGTAGGATTAGAGAAAGATTGTTAGATAATCTACTGCTAGCTCGTGTGAACACAGTAAGGGAAGACGGCGCCGAAAGACCCCCTGCTGTGATACTGTAGCCGCTGCAGGTGCAGGCACCGCATGGCTCACCTGCAGCACTGTAGCCGCATGCAGAGGCCGGCGCAGAGTCAGCCCTGTATGTTATCTAGTCACTGTTGCAGCAGGGCAACTGTACTGGGACTAGATAGATAGAGTTGTATAAATAGACTATCACGACAACTCAGTAAAGAGAGTTCAGATTTGCCATCTCCCAGACAGGACTTCGGCCAACGCTGGTGTCTTGTACTGTATGTGTATGCTCTGTTTTTCCTTCTTCTCCAAGCTCTAGCCATAGTGCGTGGGGACGGATAACGTTTGTTCGTGGTCGGCACGGCTAGTGGGTGCTCGGCAACACTAGCGGGTGCTCGGCAAGACTGGTGAGTGGTTCACTCACCTGAGCCGGTGATCCTGTGGGCCAACATAGCCTACGCTTACAACATAATTCAGCACACACGTCACGCCCCATTGAGCTAGTACCATGTCGTTGTTAAATGTTAATTGGGGCGAAGTATATTATCTATAGTTAATTTCTAGAGGGGATAAAAAATAGGAAAAATAAAAACTAAAGGGGTAAACAAAATAGGAAAAATAAAAAGTGATCTAGTATTTCTCTCTTAATACAAAGATACACAGCTCTCCTGCATGTACGAGAGAAAAAAAAAACTGATCTTGTACCATGTTGTTGTTAGTTGGGATGAAGTATACTATCTACAATTAATTTCCGGATGGGATAATAAAATAGGAAAATAAAAACTAAGGGGATAAAAATAGAAAACTAAAAACTAAAATGCAACTCGCAAGGAATTGAACTAGCACCCCCTCCTAGCTAAGGGACCAAGGTGCATCATACCACTGGGTTACCAACTGTGCAACTGTGCAAACGTGCATATTCTCTAGCTGACCATGAGTCCTATAACCATATATGCTGCTTTGCTATTTTCATGAAAACAGCTTGTGTTTAATTAATGTGTGATTATTAATTGATTTCCTACCTTTGAGTAGCAATGCTGGCAGGATGATATATCTGTTGTGATTAACTGACATGAATTCAAACGACACTCCAAAAATAACATAAGCAAACGTTATTTCTCCAGCTGTTGTGATTTCAGAAAGTTTTAAGTTTTAAGATAACAAAAACATTCCACGGAAGTAATATTGGGAGATGTACGAGACTCTGAAGAGGTTGTGCTTTTGATAATGCTTTAGTATTTCGAGAGTAGCAAAATAATATTATGTAACATCTTAGCCAGCAATAGTTCCTTACTGAAAAATATAAATGTTTTGAGAAAAATTCACATTGTTATGTTAATGAATTTTCTAGCGAAAAGCCACTGCAAGCAGGGTTGGACCCACGGGATATGCCAGAACATTCCCCATGGCAGCTCAGCACTCACTCATCATAGTATAATAAATGAACAAATTTGCATCTATACTCAAAAGTTCACTGATTTGCATCCCAGTCGCCCAATCACGGTAGCTTTAGTACAACAACGCGGGGCTGACACATAGATTGACACATTTGCATTCTATTTATCGTTTCACACTCGCGGCGACATTCCCACAAACACCACCCATGCACCCTCCCTGCCCACACCCCTACAGGATAGTAAGTCTATCCACTACGCGTGCTGGAGGGAAAGCGGGGACGTTACGTACCAGCTTGACGCGCGGGTCGACGGAATGGAGGAAGGTGCGCGGTCTGTCGACGAACTGGCAGATGGGCGTGGCCGCGGCGCCGGAGATGAGCCTGAGCACTTGCTCGGGGCCCGCCGCCGACCCGGCGCCTGCCGCGGCGCGCGGGATCCACTCCACCCACTTTGACGCGGCCGACGCCGCGGCGCCGTCCCCGCCCGAGGGCGAGGGAGACGCTGGCGCGGGGGCAGACGCGGAGCAGAGGAGCAGGGCTACGCGGCTGCCCCTCCTCCGCGCACCGGGTTTCGCCGGTAGGGGGAACCAGCTGGGCGCTGCCTTCGCTGCGGAGAGAGGGAGGGCGAACGAGTAGAGAGGGCGGAGGTGGACGGCAGCAGCCATCGGATGGGACGTGCGTGGCGCCGGCAGCCTGAACCTCGCCACGAGGCAATTTGACTTGTTTTGGAAGTACCTCAGCAGTACTAGTCCCCTGGGCACTGAAGGAGGGGGGGGCTGACAGCCGAGCGCGTCGAAAGAAGTGTTGCCCCTCAGAAGTGTTGCGTCTTAAAGAGAAGCCCCCCGGCTTATAGTTTTTCAAATGGGCCGACACGGGCACGGCCCTAAAAAAGCACGGCACTAGCCGGCCCGCCCGCTAGGCATCGTGCTCGCGTTCAGGCCGCACATTCGCCCATGGGCCAAAGACGAGGCACGACACGAAAAAAGGCATGGCTCGACATCAGCACGGCCGAGCCATCATGGTCGTTGGATCCCCGACCCTCGCGATTCTAGCCGTTGGATTCATTTGCTGGGGTGGGAGTGTATATAAGCGGCGTCGTCGTGGCTCCCCTCGCACCCCAAACCCTAAATCATTCTCGCCCTCCCAAGCGCTCTCCTCTCGCTCTCTGGCTCTCCTCTCCGATTCCGATTTGGGCGCGGGGCGACTCGATGACAGGCGACGGCGACCGCCGCCGTCCCTCTCTCTTCTTCTCGCCCTACTGGTGAGCTCAAGGGGTTCAAGATGCGGTAAGAGCACTCATCTTCTTCTTCTTCTCGCCTCCAAAGATCTCCCGCATGGAAGATGCTTTCTCTTCCGATCTTTTCTTCTTCTTTCTTCAGATCCGCCGATTCGCATTGCTCCGAGCTTCGTCTCACGTCGCTTGGCGTCGTTGAGGTAAGAATCATGATAAACCCTAACCCTAACCGTTCTTATTCTTTCTTTAGTTCTTGATCTTGACCATCTTCTTCTTCTTGTTCTTGAATCTTGATCTAATGATCTACTTCTTCTTGCTCATGTGCACTTGTGCAACCGTTTTGAGGCCGAGTGGCGATGCCTCCCGGCCCCCCCCTCAAGAGACACAATGAGGGTGCCTTGTCACGTACCATGAGGAGTCCGAGAGGTTCTTGAGCTCCCCCTAGAGAGGACGACTTGTCTTTGATGAATTTGGGTTAAAAATGTGTTAGTGCACGGGCTTCAAGACGCGCACGTGCACTTGTTCCCCTCCATAGTGTCGTGCCTAGGTCGCCACTTAGGCACGGTGGCACTAACAGGCATGGTATGCGGCGAGACGCCGTGCCGCATAGTGCCGATGCCTCTCGTCTTGCGTGCGCGTCTAAAAGGCGGCCCATTTGGAAAAAGATTACCCCCCCTCTCTCTCTCTATCTATCTATATCTATCTATCTATATATATATGTATATATACATGTATATATACATGAGGTCACAGTCGCAACTAGAGCTAGACACCTTGGAAACTTTGATTTGATCCGTAAATCTTCGAGAGCAAGGTATCATCGCTCCCCTCCTAGTTTTTTTTCACATCGATTCGGTATATATTAGTCGGATTTTTCAACCTAAGAATCGTCATTACTTAGGATTTCATGCAATTTTTAATATTTGTATTATACAACCGTAGGATGCCAAGACGTGGAAAAGCTAGCAAACCAAGGTAACCGCAGCGCATGTTGTTATGTTATGGGTTCATTGTTGTGCATCAAATGGGAAACCCTAAGTTTATGGTTTAATGTTAATTGCTTTCGGTTCTTATAACGAAATTGGTTGTATTGTAGTTATGGTCGAATGACCGGAAATGCCTTCGACCCATTGCCTCTGCCTAGTGGTGCTCCAGTGCCCATGTGCTTTTGCGGCGATCCTTGCAAGGTAGCCAAGTCCGATGAAGAGAACACGTATAGACAGAGGTACTGGATGTGTTCCAATTTTGCGTTTGAGCCTACACTTTGTCAGCGCCGCATTAACAAGATAGTGAGGAATTGATATTTGTGTCATATGACATCTTGTATGATTTTTTTTATTTTGTAACAATTGCATTTTTTGCAGACCCCTCCACCGCTCTGTGATTTTGAGCAGTGGATCGACACTGAGATCAAGCCTGAAGACAAGGAATGGATGCAGAACTGTTGCGGTGGGAGACAGAGGACAAGGAGATGATGGAGAAAAGACGCGGAGAGGAGGCTGTAAAAAAGGAGCACAAGGAAGAGGAGGAAAGGAGGCATGTTGCTGCATACAGGGAGGAGAGGGAGAAGAAGCTTGAGCGTGCACGCCGAGCGAAAGCAGCGATGGAGAAGAATCCCAATGCCACGAGGAAGGGAAAGTGGCCTCATTGCACTCAGTATTCTCCATGACTTGCTAATTCTATGGTTTATTCATGAACAATGTCGTCTACTATCGGCACGTACTTCTAGTATTATTGTGTTGTTTAATGTGGCATAGTATTGGACTTTTCATTATATGGTTGTTTTCATTATTTGTGGTCACAATATTCAGTATAATATTGTGGACGTAGTGAAATGTGATCACGTGCTGCAAACACAACCTAACGAAGTAGAGCATTATATAATTCAATACACAAAACACATGAAATGGCATGTGAGAACATGTACCGAACTAGGGTACAGAGTTCCTTTGACTAAACCTAACATGCCTTAGGTAATTAAACTAAACAACAAACACATGGATGTGCCCGCGTGTCAGCCCCTGGAGCCGACCTCCTTCGCCACCAAGAAGACTCTAGATGGTCTCACCCAAGGGAGGCTGGTCCAAGCCGACACCGCCTGACACGCAGAGTGTTAGAACAGAGCAACCAGACGACGCCCAGGCTTCTTCGGCTCCAAGACTCCTCGATGGTCCATGGTGCACCACTACAAGCCCCTCCTGGACTCCGGCGCACGTACACCATAGACTATAACTTCCAAACCGCCTTGTACCCTTCCTATCTCGTTATATAAGGGATAAGGTTGGACCTAGAGGGGGAGGATGCGAGTTTGATCACCAGACACTCCATTCCATTCCATCTGCCTCTGCTCTGCACCGAGAGCAGGGCAACCTGGAGAGGGGCACCGAGGGCCTCTCCTCCACTGCATCCCGCCGTCTCCTTCCTCTCCAACGAGGGGGAGACTCCACCGACGGCAAGGCAACCTTAGGATTAGCACCGAGCTAACCCCCTACCAAATTTCTCTTCCTTTACACTCTGTTGTAACCTCCTAGATTTTGGGTGCTTTTGAGTATAAGGATCATTAGCTGCTGGATGTAGGGACCGAATTGGCCCGAACCAGGATAAATCGTTGTGTCTTCTTTGCGTGATTCTTATGTTCCTGAGTCTACCCGAGCCACCAAAGACCTCGTACTCTTACATCGACTCAAACAAAATTCTTGCCACGGTTTCGACCCAGGACAGCTGGCGCGTCAAGTAGGGGCAGCGACAAGTGTGGTTCTGGCTCTATGGTGGTCGGAGCCACCCGCCTTGTCGCCAGAGCAAGCGACACCGCCCCAGATGGCGGTGTTCGCTTCCCCGGCGAGTTCTCCATCGCAACCGGCGCCTACACTCTGGGCTAGGTCCTCAGCTTCAGTAGCCTGGTCTACATCGCCGATTGTCACGGCGAGCTTCGTCTGCTTCATGAGGCTACGCCGGCAGTCAGCGATCCCTCGGTGTCGCCTCCTTCGCCAGGGCCCTCGAGAATGGATCTCGAGGTCTTGGCCCAACAGATCCAGCGCCGCTTGGGCCCCGATCCCACTGTGTCGGACCACCGCCGGATGTTCTACAAGTTCGCCAATGTTTATCATCAGGTCACCACGGGCGAGGCGCTCCCACCACCTAATCACTTCTGGTACAACCTCCCGGATCTGCCCTCGGGAGTCCAGAGCATGGTGGAATCCTTCTAGATGGAGTTAGAGCACCTCGTCGTTCGTGAGGCTCCACGGAGCCCCATCCTCTCCAGCACGGTAGATTTTGGGTGCTCTTGAGTATAAGGATCATCAGCTGCTGGAAGTAGAGACTGAATTGGCCTGAACCAGGATAAACCGTTGTGTCTTCTCTGCGTGATTGTTGTGTTCCTGAGTCCACCCGAGCCACCGGAGACCCCATACTCTGACACCGACTCGAACAACATGATTGCCGTGGTTTCAACCCCACGACACCTTACTTGTAGACAGATATCTGCAGCGATGTGGGCAATGAGCTACTTTCGTATGCCTAGTGGTTCGAGCACAGCCCCCCAATGGTTGGTAGGCTGGAGTTGGTTGCCACCCTTCAATGACTAGGGCAACGTTATTTCGTGGGAGTACGCCGAGCATTAGGCCGCCACACCACTGACATAGTTGTTCACGCCCACCAGGGTGTGCTTCCACCTCCACCTCCACCACCACCTCCAGTAGACGGATCGGGAGGACATTCTCGTCCATCCCAACACGAGCCGCAGCAGAGGGTTCAAGTCCTAGGTAATTCAATGATTACCTTCCTGATTTCTCATGTACTATGTACGTAACATGCTCTATCCAACCTAGCCTTTTATAGGTACACTGCTTCTTGCAGTGACTACACGGAGGGTACTAGCAGCTTTGGGTCCTTTCACACAGATGACACTCCACCTTGGTTCCCCAAGGAGGTAGGTCCCTCCTAGCTTTCTGGTGCACCTCTACCGACTAAGGGTACTGAGCATATGGAGTTGACCCCACCTGCACGACAGTGATGCCCTCCAGACCAGTGGACTTACCCTATGGCCCAGTGTCGGGGATCTAATACTGGGGTACCCAAAGAGGAGGAGTTAATAATCATCAAACGTTGATGGTTCCAAATAGGCAAGAACGCAACTACACTTCTTGCCCAAACGACTGAAGATTGGATCCACCTCGCCCGACCCCTGAGGGCTGGCTCCACTTCGCCCAATGACCAAGGGCTGGGCTTCACCTCGTTCGACATCCAGGGCAGACTCTGCCTCGCTTGATGACTGAGGGCTGGCTCCGCCTCGCCTGACGTCTAGGGGCAGGCTCCGCCTCACCCGACGTCCGAGGGCTGGCTCTGCCTCTCCCAACATTCGAGGACTAGGCTTCGCCTCGCCCGACGTCTGGGGGCAGGCTCCACCTCACCCGACATCCAAGGGCTAGGCTC